GGTCCAGTCTGCTCCTCCCAGGCTGAGCCAAGTGTCCCTGCATAAGCCCCAGGTTTCAAACAGCCAACTCATGCACTGAGCACAGGACCCAGTCCCTCTTTCACACCAACTGGATTTCTGTGGGCCTCTCTAGTACTTTGCTTTTTCCTATTCTCATGTGGTCTTCATTTACCATTGTCTCCTATTTCTTGTTCTCCCTCTCTGTTCTTAATCAACAAAGATGCCCCCACAATGGACTGCTGGCAATGGTCGAGAGACAGCCTGAACTGACCTACTCTGGTGATTGGATGGCCAAACACCCTAATTGTTGTGCTAGAAACCCCATCCAATGACTGAGGAAACTGGATACAGAGATCCACGGCCAGGTCCTGGGTGGAGCTCCGGGAGTCCAGTTGGCAAGAAAGAGGGGGGTTTATATGAGCAAGAATTGTTGAGACCAAGGTTGGATAAAGCACAGGGATAAATAGCCAAACAAATGGAAACACATGAACTATGAACCAATGGTTGAGGGGTCCCCAACAGGATCAGGCCCTCTGAATAGGTGAGACAGTTGATTGGCTTGATCTGTTTGGGAGGCCCCCAGGCAGTGGGACCCGGTCCTGTGCTCAGTGCATGAGTTGGCTGTTTGAAACCTGGGGCTTATGCAGGGACACTTGGCTCAGCCTGGGAGGAGGGGACTGGACCTGCCTGGACTGAGTCTACCAGGTTGATCTCAACCATTGGGGGAGTCTTTACCCTGGAGGAGATGGGAATAGGGGGGTGGACTGGGGGGAGGGGATGGGGGTGAAAGGGGAAAGAACAAAGGAATCCATGGCTGATATGTAGAATTAAATTATATTGTAAAATAAAATAATAATAAAAAATTTGAAATTAAAAAAATACAAAAATTTGTCAATGTAATCCACCATATATCAAACTGAAAGAAAAAATCCACATGATCATCTCATTAGATGCTGAAAAAGCCTTTGACAAAATCCAAAACCCCTTCATGACAAAGGTCTTGGGGTGATCAGGAATACATGGAAGGTTCTTAAATGTAATAAAGGAAATTTACAGCAATCTAACAGCCAACATCAAATTAAATGGAGAGAAACACAAAGCGATTCCACTAAAATCAGGAAGAAGACAAGGCTGTCCCCTCTCCCCATGTTTATTCAATATAATACTCGAAGTTCTAAGTAGAGCAATAAGACAACAATATAATATCAGGGGGATACAAATTGGAAAGGAAGAAGTCAAACTTTCCCTATATGCAGAATATACGATAGTATGCATAAGTGACTGGGAAATTTCTACCAGGAAACTCTAACAGCTGATAAACACTTTCCCACCTTGCTGGAGGAAGACTGATTG